GGTGTGCACCTGCCCTACGACTACCTACACTCTCCTTGATAGCGCTCTGTCACACCTCGTACACTACCCTGCACACACTACCTCCTCTCATACCCAGTCCTCACACCGCTCCTCCACAATACCTCCACACCTCGCCCCTCTCCCCTCTCCTACTCAGCTCCTCCATCCAGCCACCGGCCGCTCACTTCCCTCCACCACCACTGCGCACGTCCATACAGCTTCTCCAATCTCTCCCGCAGATCATTGGGACGGTACCCGCGAGCTACCTGTCGCCGAGCTGCCTCAGATAGCGGTCGCTCAACTGTCATATTACTACGACAGCCGAGCTGACGGTGCATAGTAGATTCCCCCCGCCGGAAGATGCTGCCGGACCTAAACACACGGAAAAGTCAGTGCCTGCAGTGCAAAATTAATACACCAGACCAGACAGACTACTATATATCCTCGAGGCATTACTGACACACGCACACACACAACAAACATTATTATCAGGGCTTAAGTAATGACAAATATATGACGGAATAATTTGTAAATTTATCCGAATGACAATTAACTGTCTTATTAACCCCTCGATTATATAATATTATATTATATATACTTAGTAGTATATATATATATCAGTATATATTTAACTCATTTATTGTATCTTACGCCGCCACGTGGTCTTCATAGGAGAGTCCCTGGCTGGGTGTCAGACTCCCCGGTCATGCATTGTAAGCCAGTTAGCAGTATAACAGTTAGAGGGCGAAACAGCAACAACCGCCACAGCATAGACAGACAGCGTAGCACGCTCTCACCCACAGGACCATCAGCAGCACTGGAACTAACTCAGACCTGTGGAAATAGGTGGGGGTTGCGAACTTCGTCTGCGCACGCCAGCCACCGAAGCACCACGATCAAGCAAGCAGTAAAGATTCGTAGCTGTATGCACCAGACACGAACCACACCACCACATCCATCCAGCAGCAGCAGCCGCAGCGCTAAGTCAGCCGGGGAGCCATGGCGCACCACAACTAACCACCAGCACCACACACACAGCGCAGCACACAAACACGTCACAACCACCCACACCACCACCACCACACACCACAACACCCGGCTTACTGGAAACGTG